ACTAACACAGGTAAGGGGTAATATAGTAATGGTGTTGCTTGAGCTGGCTCATACTAGCTCTGAAGGCTGATTTTAAAAATTTCAGGAACTTTGCAGGCTGGTTGTTACACACTGCCATTGCTTATAATAATATAAATATAAAAGGAAATTAATTACTTTTTCAAGTGGTAATAAACTCAAAATTCATTACTTCCTAATTGCTGTACTATTATCTTTGCTCTTAAGAAAATTTATGTCTAGAGGCTGGGGATTTAGCTCAGCCGCAAAGTGCCTGCCTGGCAAGCACAAGGTCGTGAGTTCAATTCCTGGTACCAGAAAAAAAAAAAAAAAAAAACAAGGTCGTGAGTTCAATTCCTGGTACCAGAAAAAAAAAAAAAAAGAAAATTTATGTCTACTGTATCTGTATGGTGGAAATACTACATAATGATGTGCTATTGCACACCTTTTCCCAACAATGTGTTCAATAATACCGTAATTTGAAATCAGCCATTGTGGAGCTATTTATACTATGGAAATTAAAAGTGGCTTTACATCAAGGATCCTCCCCCACTGAGGCCAGTTATTGAACATTTACCAGCATGCCACTGGATATGGTCACATGGCCTGCAGAAATACCTTCAGAGAGATAGAAAGTAGTAGAATCTTGCCATTTTCTGGGCAGATAGTTAACATGCTAGCTTTTAAAAAAATTCCCAACTGTCATAAACCTTCATTCACAGAGATTTCTCCCTCTTCTAGAGCCCATCAAGGACCTAGTGGTGGGAACAGGTATTCCTTCAGTTCCCAAGGACTCTGCTGATTCTACTGGGCCTCCAGTGCAACACCAAAGATATTACTCTGCTGGTCAGTAATTTACAGCCAGGGAGACTGAAATGGTAAAAATCTCCTGTCTTCAACCCACCCCTTCAAGGTTTGATTAGCTAGATCTGGGCATTCTTGGAAAGATACAGCAGTGGCTACAAGGACATAATAAGACCATATTATTATTACAAATACAGTATTAATTAATATCGGAGGATGGGATAAAGAGGGAGAAGACCAGTTAAGTAACTACGGAAGCCATTGTGGAGAGAGGTAACAATAACTGAGCCAGAGAAATGGAAATGGGGAATGGACCCAAGAGCTATGGCCGAGAGAGAATCAATAATATACAATGTTTGGTTGAGTGGGGACAAGGAGGAGTCACTGGGTGGCTAGTAGAACCACTTACTGAGATAGAGAAACCTGAAGAGGAACAGATTTTTAAGGGTACTGGGTTTGGACTCATTGACTTGAGGTGCCTTTGGACATCCATGTGGTAAAACCTGGAAATTCCTTAAGGGAAAAGAGTCTTAAAAGAGGGAGGGGAAAGCATAAGAAAAGAAAGGAAAAGAAGAAAGAAGCGATGAAGAAGAGACAGACTGCCAGATGAGAATAAAAGACTATCTAAACAAAAGTGAATGTATGTATTTTTGAACAATACATAAAGTCCCAAATCTGATACACCATATGGAAGAGTTGTTTACTTCTATTTTATTTTCTACAGTTGCAGGTAGAGGGAAGAGGCAATTGGACAGAACAGAAAGGTACTCAAAATAAAAAGAGCCCTGCATATACATGTTTTTTTTTT